CAGGAATTTCTACCGAAGCTTACAGCCGCTGAGCAAAGAAGAAGGAGAATATCAGATCAATAATACTTAATGTATGGAGCTGAAACATGGGTTTCGCTTGATAATTTTCACATGAGACTAACAGTCTTTGTCATTAGAATTACCTAATCAGGCTGTTTAAAATTTTTTGTATTGATGTTGTTTTTATCGAGACCCGACATCACAACATTTAAAACATCTCTATAGGCTCCCCTTCCCCATATTTAGCAGCCAGATAAGAATTTAAAGATGATGATGTCAGTAACTGTTTGATTATACGCCTGACTTGCTTATTTCTCTAAATGTGCAGTTTCAGCCAGATCCCCTCGTCACTCCCCGCTACACCATTCTCTCTATACTTTACCGGTTTATTCATGCTTCCCCATATTTAGCAGCCAGATAAGAATTTAAAGATGATGATATCAGTAACTGTTTGATTATACGCCTGTCTTGCTTATTTCTCTAAATGTGCAGTTTTGACTAGATCCCCTCGGCACTCCCCGCTATGCCATTCTCTCCACACTATAACGGTTTATTCATACTTCCCCATTGGTCATTTGCTCCAACTGCACTGACCACATCTGGTTTGTCATAAACAAGCTTCAGAAAATCACAACAGGTAATCGCCGTTTCAAATGGGAAAACAGCAGCCGGAAATCAGACGTAACCTCCCTGACCTTTATCTACACAGCTGTGCTGTTAGAGTGAAAGGTAACGAACGAGCAGACCAACTGGAAAGTAATGGACCACTGTATATGGGAAGAAATATAGACAGAGCTGATATAGTCAATGTTGCACGGACTTCTAAAAGTTCATGCAGTGTGGCATTGGTAGTCATGTCTATCCACAACCTTCTGTATCGCGTACTTTCAATCAACTATGACACAGATTATCTTCCATGCCATGTCTTCCATATTAAGTTTCCAACATCGGTTCTCTCGGTCTCCCCTCTAACTTTTCTACTGTCACGATGTACTTCAGTTTTCTCCTTCTTATCATATGACCAAAGAATGTAGATAGTCTCTTTCTGATGTGGGCAATCAGTTCTCTTCATGAGTCAGTTTCTTTCAAGACGTCTTCATTACTCTTTTTATTTGTGCAGGATATTCTCATCATTCATCTATTAAAACACATCTCAGCAGCTTCCAAATAAGTTTTCTCTAATTTACTAACTGTCCATGTTTCAGATCTGTATATCAGTTAATGAGTTATATAGTTTTTAAGAATTCTCTTTCTTGTCTAAATGACAAAGAAAGATTGCATAAAATATTATTCAGTTTGTAAAATGCTGCCTCTGCATGAGCTGTTCGACATTTAACCCCCTAATATATCTTCCATTCGATGTTAACAGGGTGTTTAAACATATCAGCTGGCTTGAGGTTTGTCCCATTTACTTTTGATGTTGCATTTTGGAAGGTCAGTTATCTTTGTAATTATCATTACTTCTGGTTTTTTTGCTGTTCAAAATAAGACCTTTGTTTTAACTTTTCGTTACAATTATATCCATCATTTCCTGCAGTTGTGTTTCATTTTTAGCGAACAAAAACTAGGACTAGGCTTGTGGATTATGATGCGTCTCTAACGCTCACACGATTACGAGATCTGAAAAAATGTAGTCAAGCACGCCTATTTCTTTTTGGAGGTAATGATAGGAGACATTATAACCAAACTCTCATGGACACACTCAGCTGAGATACACAATGTGGGTGCTGTATCCACTGCCTACTCTATTTCTGGAGCTGGTCGTGGCTGTATCCTGGGACTAAGCAGGCATGGGAATTCCCCATTTGCAGTCAAGTCGATTGTGGTAAAATTGGTCAGTTCATTTTTTGTGTTGTGATTTGTTTTTAATTATCTTTCTGCCGATGAAGGCTAATCGCATCAGTGCCCTTTGTTTATTGTAAATGGTACTTCAAAGCTCATATATAAATAATGTTTACCCTACCTTTCTAGACTAACGTTAGTAAAATAATTAAAATTGAGTAGACGGCTATCATCATCATCATCATCATAAACCACTTCTGCCGTTAAGCGCCGTGGGGAGAAATAATTTGCGATCCAGTGCACGTTGGCTGCCACTGGCTATTGTCATGCCGTGAAGGCGTAGAGTGTCTTTAATGTTGTCGATCCATATTTTCCGCTACCGTCCTCTTGCTCTTGTAGTTGATCTTCTGAGCTGTATGTGTAGTGGGGTAGGGGTTCTACTAACTTGCATTGTTTCGGTTTTGTTTACATTGATCTTCTGTTGTATTTACTACATGCTGAGTTTAACCTGTTAATGTGGTCTTGCAGTCTATGTTCTTCAGGGTAGAACAAGCATTGGTCGTCAGCAAATAGTCGTTTAATGTGGGTGAATCGATTACTTCTCCTGATGTGTGTACTTCCTCGTGATTAAAAAGATCTATGTTGTCTGTTTCATAACTTGCTTATTTAGATATTCTGTCTATATAGCTGTTAAATAAAAGTGGGGAGAGCACACATCCTTGTCTCACACCTGTTGTGACTGTGAACATATCTGAAATGCCTTCTTGTATTTTTACTGCACTTTGGCTTGTGTGGTACATGGCTATGATGTTCTCTAGTAACTGTCCTTGTACCCCGTAGTTCTCAAGAACAGACCACAGTTTGTTTCTTTCCACTCTATCAAAAGCTTTTTCCTGATCTATAAACATAATATTCTGTTTGGCATTATACTCAATGGCTTTCTCACCGCACAAAATGAGTTCTTACCTTGCAGTGTCTTAACGGCAACTTTTTCTGCTGGTGACTCCTTATTGAGAGCAAGGAAAGCTTCAAAGACGCAGCCGAAATTTCCTGAGAAATAGAACTAGATGTAAACAGATGCCGATAATTTCATTAAGCAATACGTTTGATGATGAATTCACAAGTTGCTGTTAATTCCACACCCTGTACGATATAATTTGCAATTACTACCTTCTGCTCTTTGGCCTCTTAAATGTTCACTTCAGTCAAAAGGCTGAAAAAACACATGTATGTTATAAGCAAACTAGTAAAACAATATTTGAAACTCTTGAAACATTTGGCTCCAGACAGTTGAGAAAATTAATGTCAAATTTTTCACCCACTCGAATGTATGATGCTATTTCTTTCTTGTCTTCACCCATTTTAATTATGTACAAGATCATGTCATATTATTTTCTACACACACGAGGAAATATCATCTTATCAAAAGTTGAGTAATGAAAGTCATGAACTTTTTTGCTCATGCTCCCCCCCCCCCCCCCCCCCCCCTCACCTGGTCATTTAACAATTTTGTTTTCCCAATTACTGTTTATACATTTTGCATACTTTTAGCAATATTAAAAAAAAAAAGTAGGTCGATCTTGTGCAACAAAATTATCATTTTTTAACAGTCTTATCATTTTTTAACAGTTTCTTCCTGTGTCAACAATTGTCTTATCTGTGGACAATCTCTTTACCTGTCAAGTTTCCTCATCTGTCAACAGTTTCCTAATCTGTCAACAGTACTATTGTCTGTCAACAGTACCATTATCTGTCAACAGCACGATTGTCTGTCAACAATACCATTATCTATCAACAGTGCCATTATCTGTAAACAGTACCATTATCTGTCAACAGTACCATTATCTGTCAACAGTGCCATGATCTGTCAACAGTGCCATTATCTGTCAACAGTACTATTATTCGTCAAAAGTACCATTATCTTTCAACAGTACCATTATCTGTCAACAGTACCATTATCTATAAACGGTGCCATCATCTGTCAACAGTTCCATCATCTGTCAACAGTACTATTATTCGTCAACAGTACCGTTATCTGTCAACAGTACCATCACCTGTCAACAGTACCATTATTTGTCAACAGTACCATTATCTGTCAACAGTACCATCACCTGTCAACAGTACCATCATCTGTCAACAGTGCAATTATCTGTCAACAGTGCCATTATTCGTCAACAGTACCTATATCTGTCAACAGTACCATTATCTGTCAACAGTACCGTTATCTGTCAACAGTACCATTATTTGTCAACACTACCATTATCTGTCAACAGTACCATTATTTGTCAACAGTACCATCATCTGTCAACAGTGCCATTATTCATCAACAGTACCATTATCTGTCAACAGTACCATTATCTGTCCAATGTACCCTCATCTATCAACAGTACCATCATCTGTCAACAGTGCCATTATCTATCAACAGTGCAATCATCTGTCAACAGTGCCATTATCTATCAACAGTGCCATCATCTTTCAACAGTGTCATTATCTATCAACAGTGCCATCATCTGTCAACAGTGCCATTATCTATCAACAGTACCATCATCTGTCAACAGTGCTATTATCTGTCAACAGTACCATTATTCGTCAACAGTGCCATTATCTATCAACAGTACCATTATCTGTCAACAGTACCATTATCTATCAACAGTGCCATCATCTGTCAACAGTGCCATTTTCTGTCAACAGTGCCATTATCTGTCAACAGTGCAATTATCTTCAACAGTACCATCATCTGTCAACAGTGCCATTATCTGTCAACAGTGCCATCATCTGTCAACAGTACCATTATCTTCAACAGTGCCATTATCTTTAACAGTACCATTATCTATCAGCAGTGCTATAATCTGTAAACAGTGCCATTATCTTCAACAGTGCCATAATCTTCAACAGTGCCATTATCTGTCAACAGTGCTATTAGCGGTCAACATTTTTCTTATCTGTCGACAGCCTCGCCAGGTAATATTTGCTGGGTCAGCAGTAAATAAATTGCAGTAAACTTATGTTCTGAGAACAGGATGGATATATTTATTATTATTATTAATATTATTATCATTATTATCATCTTCTTCTTCAACATTCAGAGCCCTTAAAGGTTCCTTGCTGTAGATGTGACCAGCCTTCACTCATCTCTCTGGCTGGCCTTCTATGTCAAGTGTTATTAATATAAACTTACGTATATTTGGAATAAACAGACAGTGATCATTTATATGTACCTGAGCCAATTTTCTTGCCAACTGTCAAACAGTCAAGACTGATGATAAGTCTGTCCATGTCGGCTCTTTGGTCGGGCTCTGTCACGGACTGCAGAATCTGTTTTAGTGAAGGCAGAGCTCCCTCTTTGCTTCCTATATAAAAACATCATAGCCCAACACATAGACAGCGAATGGAAAAAAAACTTACATTAACAAAACATTACAATCAATAATGAAGACAAATAAGAAGACAGGTTGATATAGATTATAATGATTACTATAAAACTGAAGCGAATGAATGAGACTCAACCCCACTAGTACATCCAACAAGCGATAAACACCCGGTGACGCAAAGTGCCACCATGCGGATGAGGATCATCCGGGGAGAGGTCCCAGAAACCCCGTTCAACCGTTAGGTTATATTAGAGCGCCCGATTACAGCTGTGATGGGACTTTAAAATAACGAAAAAAATGCGTTCAGTATAGGGATGACTTCAGTCATTTCAGTATTAAAACTGAAAGAAATCTTTATGTCTATTATAATAACTCCTCTAAAACGATGACCAGTAGCAAAGTGAAATTGGACATATCATTCTGGCTGAATTTCTAGATCAAGGACACTATTTTCAACAAGGTTTCTATGTTCGGATGCAAACTAACGCTGGAATAACAAAAAGTTTACATTTAGCTGTTGAGTCGAAGTAGCGTAGCGACTGGATGCTCGCGTGAGAATCGGAAGGTCGTGAGCTTGCACCCTGGCGGAGCCGAACTTTTGTTAAAAAATGACCCTGACTCCCAGGTCGACCTGTCTTTGAGTGGGTACCAGGTGCAGTCCCGGGAAGTAAAGGCGGCCGGCGGGATGCTGACCACATCACCCATCTTTGCCGCTTGGTTATAAAAATTAAAAGTCTAGCCCTGTATGCCCTTTACCCCTTAAAGGTTGGAAAAGGGACCGATACTTTTTTTGTTGTTGTAATTTAGCTGTTATCTCCCTTTGGACTTGAAGTCTGGGCAGTAACCGGTCGTTTGATTTTAGCAGTGAAAGCCGAGATAGCGTAGTGAGTTGTTAGACCAGTGTAATCCAAAGTCAGCATTACCGTCTCTCTGAAGTTAATGATGTGGTTGAAGGGTCAGCAGCTTTGTCTGTCGTACTGGGGGCGGGGCGGCGGTATTAGCCCCAGGCGCAGTTTGAATAAACAAATAAATATAAGGCAGCAGTGGACACAAGGAATAATTAGGGAAGGGAAAAATAACTATTTAATTGATTACCGTGGGCGAATCAGGAAAATTAAATCTAGTAGATTAAGAAGCAAGCCAAATTATTTGACAAATGGTGCCAGTACTCAGAAACAGTCCGCATCAGTAAATACCATAAAGCATTCTGGAAAAGATCCTTATCAGCGACACAAAGCTACAAATGACAGACCTGGGCAGCGGCAGAAAGTTGAGAAAAGGAAAAACACTACAACTAAGAGAAGATTCCAAAGAGAAGAAAATCATAAATAGCTAGTATAGTCGCCACAAACTGTGTAGGTTGGGATTGTTTTATTTCCTCCCGACAGAAACAAAAATTATTCTTTATCGCTTATGGGAGATGAAACCCGGTTCTCATTCATGTTTGGCCTAACCCGAGGCAATCCCTCGTTGTAAATATAAATATATATATATATATATATATATATATATATATATATATATATATATATACATATACAGCATCTCCATATATAAATATATACATAGTAAGTAAAAGACTCTTTTCCACATCTTCAGGTGGACCTCTATACACACACACACATATATATATACACACACACACACATATTTACACACTCACACACACACACACACAGAGAGAGAGAGAGAGAGAGAGAGAGAGAGAGAGAGAGAGAGAGAGAGAGAGAGAGAGAGAGAGAGAGACATTATGAAACATGTAATTTATCATTAGAGTTCTTTTAGAAGGAACAAATAAGAAACAACTGCACACTCACCATGCTGTGATCCCGACAGACTGCTCATGTAAAAAGCTTGCTCTTTGACCAGTGCCTGTGCTTTCCTGGCTCTGATATACAGCACACTGGACACAATGACCAGCAGCAACAAGAGGACACCGCCTCCCCCAGCTCCCGCGAACAACGCTATGTTCAGTTTGCGATTTTTTACGGGATCGTTTTCTGTTACTGCGGAGGTTTTGTTGTCATCGGCGTAGAAGACAAAGACCATTTCTTGTTGATAGTTACCAACTTTGATCTGAGTAAGGAGTAGTTTAAAGTAATGTAAAAAAAAGCAAAGTACAGAATCAGTAAGTTTTCAGGGAATCTGGCCGGTGCTAATCACTCAACGGAAAGGCTAAACGGATGCAATCAGACACTAACTGGTACCACTGGAATTGGAACTCTTCGGTTGCTGCTGAAGATGAGGACGGAGTAAAGTAAAGGACCCTCTGCCACGTCTTCAGGCTTATTGGGCATATATATCTATACTTACATTTTATAGATCAATCGCGGCTTAGTGGGCGAGGCTGTCAGCATCACGCAAGCCGCCTTTACTACCCAGAACTTTACCTGGTACCCATTTAAGACTGGGCGGTCGTGGGAGCCAAGGTCATTTGTGACAAAGGTCTGGTTCCGCCAGGACCTGAGCCCACGACCTCTGATCCACAGGCGATAGTCTAGACGCTACATCACCACCGCTAAACATTGAAAGTATTGACAATAATTCACATTTAAATGCAGACGCTCGCCTGCAAGCGTGAAGGTCTTGGTTTCGATTCGCCGCCGAGTAGGTTTTTTTTTCCAGCTGACTTTAACTCCTATACTACTCAGCCTGTAATCCGTACCAGGAAATGATATGTGAAGTCAAGGCAGCCGTCGTGATGTTGGCTGCTTCAACAGTTGAATGCTGTTTGGTCTATAGAAATAGGAACCAAGCATCATATGCCTGAGGCGCCACTGGCGTAAAAGTGCCCTTTATCTGTTAACAAAATTAAATAATGAGGATATAAACATTATATTGCACAGTTTAAGGCCTGGAATATTTCGCCAGGTATCAGGTACATTACTACATGTGTCAAGTGCCTTACTACATGTGTCAGGTGCTTTACTACATGTGTCAGGTGCTTCACTACAGATGTCAGGTGCATTACTACATGTGTCAGGTGCTTTGCTACATGTGTCAGGTGCATTACTACATGTGTCAGGTGCTTTGCTACATGTGTCAGGTGCTTTACTACATGTGTCAGGTGCTTTACTACATGTGTCAGGTGCTTTGCTACATGTGTCAGGTGCTTTACTACATGTGTCAGGTGCTTTGCTACATGTGTCAGGTGCATTACTACATGTGTCAGGTGCATTACTACATGTGTCAGGTGCATTACTACATGTGTCAAGTACATTACTACATATGTCAGGTGCTTTACTACATGTGTCAGGTGCATTACTATATGTGTTAGATGCATTACTACATGTGTCAGGTGCTTTAATACGTGTGTCAGGTGCATTACTTCATGTGTCAGGTGCATTACTACAAAAGTCAGGTGCTTTACTACATGTGTCAGGTGCATTACTACAAATGTCAGATGCCTTACTAAATATGTCAGATGTATTACTACATTTGTCAAGTGCATTACTACATTTGTCAGGTTCATTACTACATGTGTCAGGTGCTTTACTACATGTGTCAGGTGCATTACTACATGTGTCAGGTGCATTACTACATGTGTCAGGTGCATTACTACATGTGTCAGATGCTTTACTATATGTTTCAGGTGCTTTACTACATGTGTCAGGTGCATTAGTACATGTGTCAGGTGCTTTACTACATGTGTCAGGTGCTTTACTAAATATGTCAGGTGCATTACTACATTTGTCAAGTGCATTACTACATTTGTCAGGTACATTACTACATTTGTCAGGTGCATTACTACATGTGTCAGGTAAATTACTACATTTGTCAGGTGCTTTACTACATTTGTCAGATACATTACTACATGTGTCAGGTGCATTACTTCGTTCGTTAGGTGCATTACTACATTTGTCAGGCATTTCTCTAATTGTATGTATACTCCTCTCTTTCCTTCTTGTTCTGATGTGATGCTCGTTTTCTTCCCAGGATGTGTCCAATAAGGTGGCATCTTCTGTGTTTTATAACTATCTATACTAGTGGTTGCCCAGATATTTCTTTTATTGTTACACTCCTCTTGAAATAATCGCATTATATATTTACTATTTCCCTTAGCCATTTGTTTACATATGCATTTACTTTTAGTTTCATGTATTAACTGTCACTGGCATATGTTAAAACTGAATTATGTTGTTTTAATTTTGTTTGTCTCCAGTGTTTTATCTGCAGGAACTACTTTTGGTGCCTTCACTATACTTGTCGCTTCATAATTTATGTGTAGCTCAAATGTTGATGTTTTTAATTGTACGTGGTAAATTATCGACTTGGTAACGATTACATCAGGAGGAGAGTCGGCAGAGAACCAATACTGAACATCATAGGTAGACAACAAATCAAATGGCTTGGCCATGTAACAACACTGGCATCAGATAGGGCACCACAGAGAATAATTTTCTACAGTAGTAGAGTCAGAAGTCGATCACGCAGAATATGGACCGCAGAAATATTAGAGACAGTGAAAAATACTTTATATGAAGTGATCATGAATGTATATCTGTCTGTCTTTGTGTATGTATGTACGTACGTACGTACATATGTATGTATGTGTGTATGTACGTATGTGTGTATGTATGTACGTACGTACATATGTATGTATGTATTTATGTGTGTATGTACGTATGTGTGTATGTGTGTATGTATGTATGTATGTCTGTCTGTCTGTCTGTCCGTCTGTCTGCCTGCCTGGCTGTAGGCAGGCGTGTGCGTGTGTGCGTGTGTGTGGGTGTGTATGTATGTATGTATGCATATGTTATTCAGTAAAGTCTGGGAGACCGAAAAAACACCAGCAGACTGGAGAGAAAGATGTCTTGTTAAACTGTCAAAAATAAAATGAGACAAATACATAGGAATTATGTTGCTGCCAGTTGAACTGAAATTAAATAGAATGAAATAAAGTAAAAAAAAAAAAAAAAAGCTAAGCTGTATATTGATCATTACAGGACTGAGAACACCAGAACTGTGAATGAAACAATTTTCTATGAGGAGCGGCCGTTTTGATCACCGGAGCAAGATTTTACAGCTGTAGCTATAATTTTATAATTGTATAGTGGTCCGTACAGCGTGGATGATAGGTGTTCTGTTCATGCATCGTCTAGCAATCAGTTGTGCAACATGTGTACGTTTGTGTGTACATGTATGTTTGCGTGTGTGTGTAACAAAAACCATATATTTACTACTTTTGCTTAAAAAATGTACACATGTTTTCTTTCTAATCTAAAAAAAAAAAAAAAAAAACAACATATACATATAAACAGAGAGAAACTGAGTTACCCTGATCTTGACAGTCTTCTGTATAACGCCCTTTCCTGTAGTACCATCATCAGGTCGAGGTGACACGGTGGAGAAGTCTGTTGTGTTTCCACCAGTTTTCGTCACTCGTTTCGTTGTCCTGGAAGTTGTTGATGTCGATGTATTCATTTTACCAACACTACTAAGTTTGCTTGCTGATGCTGAGTTTTCCATAATAATGTTGAACGGTTGATCTGACTTCCAAGTAGACTTCATAGTTGTTGTTTTGGATATTACCGATCCTTTTGACTTTGGTAGGCCTGAACTATCCATGGCTTCCGTTTCGTTTGATTCATCTATATTTGTGTAATTGCTGCTCTCTTTAGAATATCCTCGTGTATACAGGAACTGGCTATTTTGTTGCTTAGTTTGGAACTGATTCAAATTCCAAGACTTCATATCGCATTTTATATAGTTGTTTTTCACTTGGGTGATATTCAGTGTCACGTTTGCAAAGGATGCAGTGATGTCAGATCTGTCAATCCAATCTGGGATGTTAGCACCCTGAAAAACAAAATCAGACATCAAGAAAACATAGCAATCATTTAAATTACATTTACACCTTTATGTATGCCTATAATTATACCTAAAACCCAGAAAACTCATTTTATAAACCCGGAAAGACCTTGGGAAATAGCCTCCTTGACCTCCCCCCCCCCCCTCCCCCCGAGATAAAATATATTGAAACATATATGTCTATACATTTCATATTATTTCAAGTATATTATTATATTTATTTACCATTCATCTATTTAATAATAATCATCATCACGCGACTGACAAGGCTGAGCGACTTTCGTGAGTTGTACTTAATTTTCTTGCTTTCCTAATGTAATGGTGTAAAGTTGAGAAGATCGGTTTCAATCTACCAGGTATACTATATATTTGGTCTTTCTCTCCCCTCTCTCACTATATATATATATATATATACACACATATATATATATATATATATATATATATATATATATACACACACCTACATATATATGTTTATGTATGTGTCAGCAGAATGGCTGTCAGGCTGCCTGCAAACTCCGTAGCTGTAGCGGCGACACGATGAAGAGGGGTCTGTAAGCACTACACGTAGACACCAAACTAAGCAGTTTATTAAATGACCTTTACAGCACCACACAGACGGTTCAAGTAGTTTGCTCTTTCCCCTCCAACTGTCCCCTCTCCCTCACAATATATAATTAAGTTTACCTTTTTTTATTCATTCCATTACTACAGAATTACCACTTTCTTTTTTTAGTATGGGTAATACGTTCTTTTCAACGACTGGCTTTTTGTAAGCAATCAATCAAAAAAACATTAGATTATCTTTGTCCCCATAGTTCCATAACAGTGTGAAATTGAGTCACTGAGTTAAGGTTGATATTTTTGTTTTCCACGTCTGGTGATCAGATGCGCTGGGGTTGGTGCTTTTGTATTTGGTTTCCGATTCATATTTTTCTTGGCCTGCTCATCTCCTCTGCCCTGTAACTGTTTCATATAGCATGATGGACCAGATCCTATCCCACACAGGAATACACACTACAGCATGTTAATATATCTGTTACGGCTGCCCAGCTCTAACTGCTTTAGAGGTTTAACGGGAAATCGGAGATTAGCCCTGTTGATTTGTCATTCAGGGTCAGATTCCCAGAGTCTCAGGAATGATTACACCTTCAGGAAGGATGCCAGAGGGAAGAACCCAGATAGACAGGCAATTTTATTGAAGCAAAAACATTATATCTACGGTAGCATAGTAGGTGGCATATTTACTGGACCCTAGGATGGTCATATAAGTGTCCTTGAGGCTGTTTTTTTACCTCCCTGTACTGAGTCCCCAAATCAGGGATTGTCAGATATGCAGCTACTAGGCCAGAATTGTACAAAAAATGTGAGAGATAGAGATAGAGATAAATAAATAGAGAGAGAGAGAGAGAGAGAGAGAGAGAGAGAGAGAGAGAGAGAGAGAGAGAGAGAGAGAGAGACAGAGACATCGTTCTGGAAAGGTCAGTAGATTGCATTACATGACCTAACCATTACGTATTTATAATTATTGTTTTTGTTTTACTGAAGTTAAAGGAGATTCGTACTTACCAGTATGAGATAATACATTGTTGTATTTTTAACGATCAGAAGAAACATACCCGAATTATTAAAGATCTTGTTGCTTTGTCGATGAAAGTCTCATTGAACATTGGATTGGCATAGACGGTCATCTTTTGCAGGTGTGGATGCTGCCAGAGCATGTCCATTCCATCCATATATATGGCCACCTGAACTGTCATGTTGTTTCTGAAACATCTACTGACATCGGGCGTTTTGCACACCATTTTCCTGTTACTGACTGGAGTGTTACATTTTTGTGAGAGCGGCTGAATGCAGAGATAAAACAAATAATTACCGTTAGTGATGGTTAAAATGGGATTTAATTAAATCACAAACCGATGAAAAGGTCTTTTTGGTGTAGAGGCCCAGCAGAGAAGCAAAGAGTTGTAACACTTTAACCTACCATTCATTCATTCATTCATTTGTTATTATGTTGTGCCATTTGATGTCACATAGGACTCGCAGTCTATTCCTCCATTCCGTTATATCATGTGCAGTCAGTTCGATATCATCCAGCAGTTTTAGCCTCTCACATCAACCTTGGTTTTATGGTTTCTTGTGGGCGTCCTAGCCTCCTTAATCCAATTATTTCCCATTAAAATCCTTTTTTTTGTTGTTGTTGTTGGGAAAAGGGGGGGGGGGGGTGATCCTCTACTGGTTTCTTCTCACAATGTGTCGAATGTAGCAACATCTTCTGTCGATATCAATGGTTGCCCAGATATTGCTCTTATTTCTATCATACAAGTCATAAAAGGAGATCACAGAAGTTTCATATGAGATTGTCTACCTTAGCTACCTCTTTCAAAGACAGCTTTGGCTGCACAATACATTCAAATATAAATAAATCGACGAAGATCATAGATAACATAGGTAAGTGCAACACTCTACTAGAAGACTAAAGACAGGAGGAGGAGGAAGAGAGACAAAAGAAGAAGAAGAAGAAGAAGAAGAAGAAGAAGAAGAAGAAGAAGAAGAAGAAGAAGAAAAAGAAGAAGAAGAAGAAAAAGAAGAAGAAGAAGAAGAAGAAGAAGAAGAAGTAGAAGAAGAAGATGATGATGATGATGATGATGCTGGTGATGATGATGAAGAAGATGGGGAAAAAAACTATAGCCACTTACAAGTTAAACAACTTTTGTTAAAGAAGAGAGCTATAAACACTACATGTTAACCTTTTGTGTCTATGTTAAAGACGAAAACTACAGACACGCATGTTAAAGCTGTAGACAATTATAGGGTAAACTACATTAAAGAGGAAGTTATGGACAGGGTTAATCTATCTGTGTCAGGGATAAGCTATAGAGATAATGTTAATCTGTGTATGTTGAAGAAGAGAGCTATAGATAATTATCAGTTAATCTATTTATGCTACAGGATACAGTTTAATCTGTTTATGCTAATTTCAAAAAAAAAAAAAAAAAAAAGCTTTAGACATATTCAGGACAGTTTGGAAAAGAGCTATAGACACATGCCAGCTTATCTGTTTACTTTAAAGTACTGATTACCGTGTTTATGTTAAAGAAGAAGAGATATAGACAGGTAAAAAATGCTTTATAAAAAAAAAAAAGACTAGAATGAGTTGACAGCCTATAGAATAGCAGTTCTAAAACTTGGTGCCACGGCACCCTGGGGTGCCGCGAGCGTATGCCGAAGTGCCGCGGCAATAATCAAGAAAAGTTGGCTCAAAATTGAAAAAATTAAAGAAGGCATGAAGATACTTTAAAGTTTATGCTTAAGTTGTCTTACCTCGCCACTGTCGAAATTTTTTTTTTTTTTTTTAAACACCCAGACATGTTTCATATTGCATAAAATGCCAACCGCAACTTGCTAAGAATTGTCGTTGTATTTATCTCGAAGTGCGAACCATCCTCTGCCTGCATTCATTTAAGCGCAGTCGAGTCCAAACAGTTTTAGTTATCGCATTGAAGACAAATGAACATTACATTTGCACTTTTTTTTTCTTGTTTTTTTTTTTCCCCCACCAAATATTCAAACCGGTTTAATCGTAACTATAACTTTTCCTCGAATTTTTGTTAGCCTGAGAAGAGTGCCTTGAGAAATAACAGAGGTGGAAAACTGCTGCTCTAGATGTCCCGACCTAAGAGAGTCCCACCTCAAGAAACTATTTTGGCTGTACACGCCACGACAAGCCGGATGAAAAATGATGAAAGAGACAATAGACTCACCGTGTTTGCAGTGGTTAGTGGAGAAAGAAATGTGGACAAGGCAGGCATACTGCATGTGCTGCGTTTCCAGAGATGTTGAGAGAAAGAAGCCTGAGACGATGAGCATTGGGTTTTTGGGAAGTTTTAAACGAGGCCTAGTATCCAGAAACCGGCTGCGGGGTAAAGAAAGAAGAAATGCCGATCAGCTCCCACTGTGTATGGTGAACATGGAGACGCTGAGATGGCTGCCTCGTCAAGGGACGAAGCGCGAATGGATCAGGATGTTAGGATGTTGATGCGGACAACTAGTAACAAGTAACAGACTAATATGTGTACATTTAAAGAAGTGAGCTAAATGCACTAACACCGCCAATGTTTTAGAACAGAATCAAAGAAATATACATAATAATCTGCGAATGGCGCACAAGAAGACTTTAGACATAAAATTAGTAGGTTTAGGAAAAACTACGAGATTAACCAGCTTTAAAACAAAATGGTGCTTGTCATTACATGTGTATTTTTTACTTTGCTATCTGTTATATTGTCATGACATGGGCATTTTCTACTATATTATCTGTTATCATGTCATTACATGAGTATTTTCAACTATGCTATTTGTTATATTGTCATTACATGGGCATTTTCTACTATTCTATCTGTTATCCTGTCATTATATGGATACTTTCTACTATGCTATCTGTTATCCTGTCATTACACAGGTATTTTCTACTATGTTGATACCCTTTTATGATATGGATATTTTCTATTATGCTATCTTTCATTATTAGGCTATTTGCTATTTTACTGTCTATTATCGAATTTCTATCTCTCATAAGTCAAGTAAGTAAATGACTCTTTCCACTCCAGTGCCACATCAGGCATATGATGCTAGACTCCATTTCCATATAAACTTTAGCACTATATATGTGATGTGATTCACATCACACCAGCCGCCTTTACTTCTCAGGATCTCACAAAAAGTTACTATTGACATGGCCACAGTCAGAGATCTTCTCTGTTGGTACTTAGTGCCAACACCTGTTTAAGGCATTCTTTTTAACGCTACTGTAATAGACACTTTGGGGTGAGTACCAGAACCTTTTTGACATTTCGGGATGAGTACCGGGACCTTTTTTGTTTCGTAACAAAAAGCCACTTGTCACAGTTTGTGCGAAAACCGGAATAGTATATACGAGCTTTACGGACCGCATGTGATTTTACAGAAGAATGCTTAGAATACCTTGGACAGCCAAAAAGAGCAACCAAGAGGTTTTGAAAGAGGCGGGAGCCCGAAGACAACTTATCACAGACATCAGAAGGAGACAGTCATCATTTTTCGGCCATGTTATGAGAAGATGGAAAATAGAACATGTAACCACTGGAAAGATATGTGGAAGGAGAGATAGAGGAAGACAACGAGAGAAGATGCTTGACAGTCTTGTTGCATGGCATGGAGGTGTGTTGGCACACGAACTGATACATGCTGCAGGAGATCGCAGATTATGGAGAGGCATGATCGCCCACGCCAGTCGGCAAGGCACCTGATGATGATGACGGACCCCATATTTTGCCTGGTTTTCCTATATAATCTTGTTATTAGCCCGCCACCAGAGGAAAAGAGGGAAATGAAAACGATATGTCAGCCCGAATTACTTTTCCCCCTCTATTTCTTTAGTGCTGGGCAAATATAAGGAAGTGGGAAAACATGGGATGCATAAAGCTCGTATATACTACTAACGTATTATACTGAGGTAAAATACTTACAGAAGTGCAGTTCACCCCAGGTGTGCTGGGTACTGTTAGCTTGAGCACAGAGGTGTCCACGCTGTCAATGTTGACACCAGTCACTGCTATAGACACCCCGCCACTGGTAACAGACAAGCCAAATTGTATTTATTGTATAGTAAAAGCTGCATTTTACAGAACGAAGAATATTCAATGCAATCGTCACTGTCAATTGAGACGAGAAAGAGAATTCTCAAGATCTGTATAAATCATATCATAATACATGGAAGTGAATCATGGACAGTTTAGCGATTAGCGACAATTTTTTGGTAGCAGCGGAGTGTAGTTTTACGGACGAATTATGAGAATACCATGGACCCTTAAAACGAGCAATGATGGATGTCTTCATAGAAACCGACTTCTGAACAGAAATGATTGCCCATAGAAGGAGACAAACTAGATTCTTTGGTCATGTCATGAGAAGGGAAAACTGGACTGCACCTTGATGGTGGGAAAGTTGGAGGCGAAAAGAGACAGACAGAGATCGAGAGAGAAAATGCTGGTCAGTCTGACATCATGGAATACAAGAATGTATGTGTTAGAAGTGATTGAAAGTATACAAGACAGAAGGTTATGTTATATTTAACTTAAAACTATATTTTAAATACAAGGGCTTTGTGAATGATTGGTTTTTATCAGAGCCGAGTGTAAGACGGGCTTGCGTTCACAATTTGAGACCCTCTTATAAAAGAAAAAAGTCCAATATCATCTTATTTGGCAAAGGCGTCTCGAGACATGTTGTCCGCCAAGAGTGTTAGAGGTACCGGGTTCAATCCCCGGTAAGGATTGGGAGTTTTTCACGTGGACTTGGACCTTTAGTAATTTTCCCTGGTCTCTGGGTAGTAAAATCGGACGCCCGTGTGCATTATTGCGCACGTAAAAAAAATCTCTTGGTAGCTGGAAATCGAAAAGAGTAGCCTAACGGCCCTGTCTGGGCTAAATGTGGAGTTACAAATCTACCCAAAGTCTTTCAGTATCCTCGCCGGTGCTACAGAGCGTGTGCAATGTGCTGAGCTTCTTCGGACTCAGACTTGAGTTGGAAGAAGAACGGAGCACTTATGGGTTACTACCCGTGTGCCATGATGTTGATCTGTTGTTCAAACCTCAAACCTCAAATTTCCTTTCGCAAAGATATGTTGTACGATAGTCTTCCACGTATCACATTCTAGGATATAGGGATCAGCTTCGTATCCTGAATGTATCTTTACAGAGTCCTTGTTTATAATAAATAAAATTTAATGACTGCGTCATTGTTAACATATGTATCAGCGTTTAATATTTCTTCATTTACTTACAAGAACACATAAAGAAAACATTCGACACAGAATTGCAGATCGGAGACCGGATAAGTAGGAGAACTATTAATATTATTACTATTATTGCTTTTGTCATGCTAGCAGTGCCAGGCCTGAATCCCTATGTCTACTAATGAGCAGACAAATTATGTAAGCAGAAATTATATGTGCAAAGACAAATTTTGGACACACACACACACAAACACACACACACTAAAATGAATTTTAAAAAAAAATAGAAGAAAAAATACATTTAAAAAAAGCCATATAATTGATTAAAGAACAGCACAAAACATCACGTCTGACAAAAATGCCCTGGCACCAAATACCACAGTGGTTATCCTTACCGGCGAGAGAAAGCAGGGTATACCAGGTTAGCACTTGGTGTAGCACTTATAGATGCTCTAAATAAGACTTGTTTACAGGTTCAGTGAAATTTGATCGTTTGGGCTGTCATCTAGGATATGACTGAGTCCCAAGAGAGGTCAAACCCTGTTGTAGAAGCTTTTAGACATACAAAGAGGCCAACACATAGACAATCACAATGAGCCATGGCGAAGAAATATATTAAGAAATTGAGCAAAGAGGAAGACCATGATCAAATGACGATATCTAGAAAAGAATCATGTAGCAGGTCCCTGGCAGAACGTCGCTCTCATCACGATCTGTCTGAAAGAAACTCAGTCTTTCGCCAGATCTCCCGCCTCGTGTACTTTCATTTTCAAAGAGTCACTTGTATTATATGCCCATCATTGTGTTAGTCAGTCTTTCTCAGGGCTTCCCGGTACCCTGCCTTCTGCTATTATTGTTTTCCAGTCTGCCATGGCGCTTTATACGACCAAGATATTTCAGCTTCTGAGACAAGATGCTGTAATTAACCAATCTTCTTTGATGTTCAAATTCTTCCTTAGGGAAATGAACACCAACTTACACAGTGTATTAGAAAGAACACCGAAGACCTTACATAACCACCCAAACACATTCGCTGAGTTAACCGAAGAAGAGAAGGGGGGAGAGGAGGAGATACAGGAGGAGATACAGGAGGAGGAAGAATAATAAAAAGAAGAAACATCTCTCACCTTTCTATTGTCTTCAACGGTGTAATATTCTGAATTGTTGGATTTTGACGAAATTCAAAATTTTTGTTTACAGTGGTTTTGAAATTATCAATTGAAATCACAATGTCTCCAGATGTTGGCTTTCTGTTGACATCTTCTTCGATGGTACAGACGAGCTCACTAGAATGTTGAAATATAAAAGAAAACGTCACAATTTATAGCTTTTCCTTTAAACACATATAATTTTACAAAGGAAAATGGACATCATCATTATCACCATCGTCATTCCCATTATGACCATTGAAATCATCCTCATCATCATCGACATCATCATCATCAACTACTTTGTCAGCTGGCGTTGGCGATCAAGAGTTACCGCATACATTTCAGCCAAATGAAGCACTCAGAGTCATAACAGGCGGAATGAAGTCAACACCTATATCTGTGATGGAGGAAATGGCGATCACCTAAACACTGGCAGAACGCAAAGACACCAAGTGTCACGAGACGATCTCAGTGATTCCAGAAGTTAGTACTTGTAATAAGTTCTTCTGGTTCTAAAGAGACAGGATTATATTTACTCTGCCCTTTACCCTAATATTACTTTAAGCCAAATTGATTTAAATGTTACCAGTCCTTCTCCCAGACAAAGCCACTGCGCTTTGTTTAAAATTACCTAACACTACGTAATACAGCCCGCTGGTTCAGACTAGGGATGTGAGGTTGGATTCTCACGCCAGTGTCAGAATGTTATCTCCTGACCAGACTGAAGAGACTGAGGGGGGCCCTTTTGAACAGGGGAATTGAGTAGACGCTAGACATGGTGGAGCCGAGAAGTTTAAAGTTTCACACGTCAGTGTAAGACTAGAGAGAACAGGTGTTTGGCAATTAGGAATGTTTTATCTTGGTCAAGGTCGTACTGTAGGCCGTTCACTGTGAGTGACAGGTCACTGGTTAGCCAAGTTGATCTCATAGTTACCTCAGAGGCAGGGCTTAAGCCATCATCTTGAGGGTTGGGTAAAAACTAAGGAAAGGGAGGAGTTTAATTTGGACAATAGATTAATACTTATACTGCGGGCATCGTAGATTTACCTCATAGTGCCGCCAGCAGGCCACAGACTCAGACCTACCGTTGAAAAGTACTTTCTCCCTGGTTGAGTCGTGTTCGGCATTTGCTGGAAAAGTTCCCAGGTGAATATTAATATTAATCTTGTATACTTAGGTTAGGGAGTTAAGCTTAGTCTATACTACCGTTTCCTAATTTGTCTGCACATTCTGCTTGAAATAGTTCTGTGTGAGTAGTCAGTATCTCAAGTTAGGGAACTGCTAAACTATTCCTATTTCCTGTATGTTTGTGTCACATGTTTTTCAGTGTATGTTTTCATGTGTATAAAATAAGATGTGAACAATGACATTTGCTATAATGAAATGTAATTATATTGTTTTCACGATCAGCCAAAATATGAGTTGGGACTGTGGGAAATGATGCCCAAATATGTGCAGGGATGCTGCTACGTTTTGTGTGCCCACCCTGTGCTCACTTAATGTGTTCACCTGAACAGGGGATTTATAACCTCAGGGGAAGAATGATGGGTGTATAGAATTCACTGTCACTGAAAGATAATATTCAGGACAGCGTGCACATATAAATTGTTTGCGTTTTCAGCACATAACCTGCGCCACATGTGTATGTCAAATCTATGTCAGCCAGTTGTTGGAAGTCTGAGTGATGACGGACAACAGACTTAGAAAATCAACTATCATGACATAGCATGAAGAGGGAAGGCAGGATATGTGACGCCCATGTAAGACAAAAGACCTTCAGACTAGACTGGAGAGGATGTGGAATATGAGGAGTGATGGGATATATTTTATTATTATATGTTGTATTAATTAATACATGTATTCTTAGTGTAAGTCAAGATACTACACGTATGTGTTTTGTTTCCATGATTACAGCGCCCATGTGACGATCAGTCCATGAAAGAGACTACATTGTGTTAGACTCGGCCAGTTGGGAACGAGGTGGAGAACGAGGTGGGGGCGAGGAGGAGAAACAAGCAGGGAAGAAGCTGGAAGAGGAGGAAGAGCTTGACAGTGCTCACGGCTGTCAGAGGTTCTATGAAAGTTATGTTCATAAATTGTTCATACTTTATCACCTTCATCACACCACTCTAATCCCAGGTGCTGTTCTCGCGCTGAAACAACCCATTACTATCATAACTTTAGCTAGTCACTGTTTGTGTAAACACAACACACTGGGTATGTCAATTAACTGATTGTTAGAAAATAAAGCTGTATGTCAAGTTTTAAACTACATAGTTTGTTAAATTCCAAATGTCTGTTCTTACATGTTTAATTAAACTGTGAGGATAGAACACCATTTGGTGGGTGCTCAAATAATATAATAATTCTTTAATTATTAATAATAACACCGGGAGAAGGTAGATGACGGAGGAATCACTTGCCCTGTCTAATAATTCATTAAGTATGATAGACATCTAAAATTCCTTGCTTTCTCTTGTGGGTACCAAGTTCAGCTATGTTAATATACTTAACGAGCCAATATGGCTGTTTTCTTGGATATCCAGGACTTTGTCTGAGAGCAACATAGCTCAGATTTTAGTTCGGTTTATTTAGTGGAGAGAATGTGTTGAAAGGAAGATCCCTACTCAACAACATAAACATTTAAACCACGCGTCACGTCACACCAAGATACTAATACAATCAGAGAATATTCTCATCATGCCTGAACGCTCTATGAAAGAAAGCTTCCAAAATCTAGCAATGGGGCGACTAAAGAGAAGCAGTTTCATTCACCAAGCCTAACGATTCTGCAGTCAAACCAATGATCTATCTGCAACTGATAGCGTAATGAACCAGCATAAAACAAAGTCACAAATTGTTGAACAGGAGTGTTCATTGTCTTGTCTTGTCTTGTCTTGTCCACAATTGCCTCACAGCGTAGTGGGGAGTCGCAGTTTTCTATCCTGGGCCAGGTGTGTTGCATGTGTTGTTGTTAGTCCGTGTTGCCTCAGGATCTCTGATATATTGTCTATCCATCGTACTCTCGGTCTGCCTCTTGCTCTAGGGCAGTAGTGTTGTTCGTTGTATGCTCGTAGAGGCAGTTGGTCGGTTTGCATTCGCATCAGTGGCCAAACCACTTGATTTGTTGCTTCTTTATGTATTGCAGGCATGGTGTGGTTCCTACAATTGATCTAATGTTCTCGTTTCGAACTCTGTCTCTCCTTGTGACATTGGCAGCCTTACGTAAGCATCTCATTTCGCACGTCGTGATCTTTTTCTCCTGTGCTCTTGTTAGGGACCAGGTTTGGCATTGGTAGCAGAAGGTTGGTATAAATATGCAATTTATCAGTTGTCGTTTTAGTGCCATAGTGATGCTTGGGTGTTTTAGCAGTGGGGAGAGTTGGTAAGTTACTGCGTTCGCCTTTTGACATCTTGCCTCAAGTTCCCTATCAATTCTTCCATCATCTGTGAAGATGCTCCCCAAATATTTAAATTGCTGCACTTGTTTGAGTTGTTCGTTGTTAACTTGAATAGTTAGTATATTAGGTGTTCTACTTATTTTCAGAATTTCTGTTTTGGTGATGCTGATCTTTATGTTATATTCGTTGCAGACTGTGTGTAGCGCATTTATGTGGATTTGAAGTTCTTTTTCGTTTTCATGAATTATGCTTTGGTCGTCTGCGAAAAGTATTTCGTTCAGTTGGGGATGTACTTCTTCAGGATCGGCGTGTATGTTTTCATTATAATGATCTCTTTCAACTAACTCTGTCTCATTGCTTGGTGTAGTTAACAGTTCGCTTATCATTACATGGTTTGCTGCTGTTGTTATTCTGTCCATGTATATATTGAATAGTAGTGGTGATAGTACACAACCCTGTCTTACTCCTGTTCTTAGTATGAATTCGTCTGTCACACCAACATTTGTTCTAACTACGCTTGAGCTTGTTTGGTACAGAGATCTGATGTTGTCTAGTAGCTGACCTTGTACTCCATTGTCGTTCAATATATTCCATAGTTTGTTCCTATCTACCCTGTCAAAGGCTTTTTCTTGGTCAATGAATGCTATATTGAGTTGTTCGTTATATTCTATTGCCTTTTCACTAAGTTGTCTTAGGGTGAACAGGGCGTCTGTGCAACTTTTTCCTTTCCTAAATCCAAACTGAGCTTTACTCAGCTGTGTCTCTACAAAATGTTTTGTTCTTGTCTCAAGTACTTTTGAATATAGCTTCCCTACGTGGCTCAATAAAGAAATTCCTCTGTATGTGTAGTGTTCATTGAATATCCAAATAATACCAGATATACAGCCAAAATATCACTGTCACAACTATGAGGCAGAAGTTAAAGCCATCATTTAGCAGCAGAGAAACTGCTAATATTTTACATTTTTCACAACCCGTGGTATTCCTAACAGATGCAAGAGCGGTACTTCAGGCACTCGAATCTGGAAAATTACCTGGTTTACGGACACTGTTTTCCATACTGGGAAACCGGTGTAATGTAAACTAACTTTACAGTGGATACCATCCCACTTGGAGTTCCAGGAAACGAGAGAGCTGATAAACTAAGGAAGGTGCAAATGAAGAACAGCCTGACGTACCAGTCTCTTATCAATAGAAGAAGAGAATAATCAATCAGAAAGCCACCAAAACCGGAACAAGACGAGTTCCATATTATGGACAGACCAGAGCAAGTTATTATTTTATGCCTTAGAACAGGAGACAGTCGACTTCACCGCCACATGTACACAGAATTTAAGATCGCTGAGTGAATTACAAAAGACATTGAAGTTTATACTAGAGACAACACTTCAGACATAAATAATCTATTTCAAGCGAACGAAAGAAGAAGAAGAATTCTCCGATCTCGAATATAATGTATCAGTTCCTGTGCTGATACACCTCCGTGTTATCAAGAAAAAATCTCATTTTCCATAAATATGTCCAGTTCCCACAATCTGTTCCAAATTTCTGTTATCATTATACGGCCAGCATTCATGACTGTCGCTTTCTGATCTTATCGATGAGCCATCTTCTGACCTTAGAACCCCCCCCCCCCCCCCCCCCCCCCCACCCAATATAAAACACTTAAATTACTCATATGCATTTTCGATAATACGTCCGAGGTCTTGATGAATTTTTTAGAGTTACAGTTAGTAACATTTAGCAAAATATGTTAATGTTACATGATTATCTGTAAAATTGTCCAGTTAAATGGCGAGATATAGGTTCGTCTTCTTACGTTCCGGTCTAAAATGTATGTGTAATTATTGCTTCCTCTTCATCTTTTCTAGTCTGTTGGGCCTGTCGCATTTTAAGGAAATATTTAAACAGATGGATCCCATCAGAACCTGCTAGCCAGAGCTACTATGTAATCTTCGGTTTTTAACCTCTTAAAATCTCTTTAAATGATGCTTTTTGATGGGTGGTACAAATAAAAAGGCAGCTACAACGATAAATAAAAGTTATCAGATTACTCGCACATTGATTTCCTTTTCTGCTGTGTAGACATTGTGAACTCTGCTTCACAATCCCGATGTATTAGAAATCGAAGTCAACTTAGGGCAATTTAGTAGTAGACCGCTTTGCATTGAGTTTGATAATGGTATGAGCGGCCATCGAGAAAGCGATGATACATTTCTGCTTCTTCAGCTGTCGTTTCAGGGACACCAGATTATAGTCGAATGTCGCGGTTTTCTCTATTTGTCGTGCGCGGCAAGGAAGACTTTGGTGATGGAGTTGGTCATCTCTTTTGCAGGTTTCAATTACACCAATTATTCATCTCTTTCTTGATCACGCTCACTAGATAGCTGAACCATTTCATTCTTTGTTTGTCAATATAATACACAAATGAACGTAAAGTTGACAAGAACTGGTTTGTAAGTAAAGTCATAAAGAAAGCACGTAGTTAAGTAAGTTAAAACTGATTTAATTTAGAAAGCAAATGGTTGTTCTTACCTGTCTGGCAGGACATCACAAAGGACCCCACCTATTGTTATATTTGTTGAACTTCCTATCTTCAGATTCTGACCCTGAAACTTGACCACTGTGCCACCTCGAGAAGGGCCGAACGCTGGAGAAAATGATGTCACTATCGGATCCTGCAGAATGGAAAGTCATAACCAACCATCTACAAGTCATGTTAGCATGATACGTACTCAGACAGTAAGGCATTGTCATCATTTGGAGGCGACAGGATCTGTTCCTGACCGGGTTGCTATAGCTTTAGATTGTTATGCTGTCTTAATTATATTTCTTAAAATTTATTTTCCTTACTTCACTTTTTTAATTTTTTTTTTTTTACCTTTCATCAATACACGTCAATTTATTTATTGCAATGTGATACATTTTTAAATGCATGTGACTGACACACACAGTTACTGCTGCATCTGTTTACGCGCTGTCTCTCCACCATTCACTAAGTGGCTTGCTCTCTCTAGGTCTTTTAAGCTTTCTTTCACAATCTTTGTATGCTGTTGCTGTTTAAAATAATCTTTGGCCTGCCTGTTCGCTTTCAGACGTGCTCTTTCTCTTGCTCCTCTCTTCCCTTTCACCTCTCTCCTCTCTCTCTCTCTCTCGCTCTCTCTCTCTCTCTCTCTCTCTCTCTCTCTCTCTATATATATATATATATATATATATATATATATATATATATATATATATATATATATATATATATATATCTGTGCTGTCAGCAGCCGTTTTAAATTATTTGTATTAATCTTTACTTTATGTCTACCTGCCTTCTAATACATATTTTAGGCCGCTTGAGAGTTATGGTCAATTAAAAAAAAATCACTGACCCAGTTGGTATTTAATGACTCAGAGTAATTATATGGTAGAACCATTTCACCTGTTGTTTTCTTATAAAATCAAGCTTCGCGACTACTGATTAGTATTCTTTCAGTTGTCCTAATTTTGACCTTCAAGCTACTGGATATTTATTCTCAGGAATCTTATTTCAGTTGCTCCGTTGTTGCAGTTGTACTTCATCCTTCGCCTATCCCGTACCTCTCGCTCCTTGTACAAATATAGTATTGTCAAAACTAAGCTTTTCAATCTATTAAGTAGAAATATAACTACAAAAAGGACATAACAACAAACACAAGTCAGAAGTCTTTACCAAATATTCCACCCATTGACGATCTGGTGGTAACTGAGAAGACGAAGTTTCCCCTTCACTGGTTGGATGTGTGACAGATACTGCAATATGACATTTCTCCGCACACGATGTACAGCGACTTTTGACTTTACATGTCATTCTGAAAGGAAACGCGGCTACAGTTTAATTGAGACAAAAAGTATCCTGGGTCTAGTGCTTGAATCTCTTCCATGTGGCTTTTTTTAAAAGGAGAATGACCCTTAGATTCTTAAACGACATAGCCAAAAGGGGTGCCAGGAAATGTCCTAGGAAATTAAGGTAGCTCTCGTAATATTGACTAAATCACACAACGATTGCCGACTGGCCTTAAAAAAAAATTGTGTTTGTAAGCCATAATGAAAGAGGAATAAAAGGAAAAGAAACACAAATTTTGAATAAGGGACTGTAATTTTGGCGTAATTTTGATAAGCAAAATCTGTGAAATGTAACGAGTAGTACTGTTCAAATTGCATACAAGAATACTTTCTGGTTTATCTATCTAATGACAGTTCTGTTGCATCTGGGTCATCGATAGTTTTTCAGGGGCATGGTTATGAAAAATCTCAAACATTCTTTGGATAGTAGTCTTGTCATGTTTCACGTGTAAAGAGGACTGACATAGGCAGTTGTTGCACCCCAAAACGTTCTTCATTTTAATATAAATATTGTGTGTGTGCGTGTGTGTGTGTGTGTGTGTGTGTGTGTGCGTGCATTCGTGTGTGTGTGTGTGTGTGTGTGTGTGTGTGTGTGTGTGTTAGCGTGAATGTGTGAAAAGTATATTTGGGATAGTAATTATACACTACTTTCAAAAAACTGACGGGTCACCCAGTTCTCTTCAACACATGTTTATATAAACGCATAAAATGATTAAATGAAGAACGTTTTGGGGTGCAACAACTGCCTATGACAGTCCTCTTTACACGTGAAACATGACAAGACTACTATCCAAAGAATGTTTGAGATTTTTCAGACCACAGGAAGTGCGCAGGATCACCACTGGCCAGGTCGCCCTAGATGCACCAATAGACATGCTGAGCGGTATATCTTGTTGTTAGCCCTGCATAATCGAACATGATGACACAATCCGAGAGTTCAATCCTTATATAGGCGTTCTGTCGTGGTCTAGGCATGCTTCTACAGACACACGGATCCCACTTTTCCATCATCCAAGGCAACCTGGCCAGTCAAAGATACGAAATCTTGAGACCAATTGTTCAGCCTGCTCTGGTAATGCATTCCAAGATAACCATGGTGATCAGGTGCAATTCGGTTTGCTGACCATACATTCACATTCTAAAATCAGTTTCGTAAAAACTCAAACAGTTAAAGTAATCTTGCTGATTGACATTCAACTTGCAATGGCGACATCATTCAATCTTATTTCGTTTAACAGTCAGCAGACGTACTGTGGTTTCATCACTTGCAAAAACCATGTCATCGATTAGAAGTTTTGACTACTGACAAACAATGAGGGCTATAGCATGGGGTTGAAAGTAGTTCATCTATCCGGAAGAGCTGACCAGAGAGTCATTCTGTGACAGGACACCAGAGCGAGAAGCAGTTAAAGCCGAGAATTAGGAGTGAAATCGGACCCAGAGCAAGAAAGAGTGAATGCTTTAGCTCGTCGGAATCAAAGCAATGTTGAAAATACAACGGAAAGAAGGACAAAATATGCGTCCTGATGAACTTAGTTGTGTCAGTCGTGTGTATGTCACCTGCTCTGGTAATGCACTCCAAGATCATCAGAATGGCGTGGCCAGCTCATTCATCTGACCTTTCTCCGACTGAACATATCTGGGATATCCTCGGTCGAAGATTGTCCACACATCACCCCGTGTCAATGGATATTGCACAGCTGATATTGTAATTCTGTCTGAATGTCTTGCTGAAAACGGTGTCCGTACACGTTTTAGACATGAGTCGTCCGATATCTATCGTGCGACTTTTGAAAAATTAGATGGCACATGTCACAGCTTCGTTGCGTTAGAATATGTGTTTTCATTTCTTTACATGACCTGACGGTTTAGTATTCAACAAATGCTGTATTAACTAATATAACTTACATTTCTATCACTTTTGCTTCATTGTTTCAACCAAGGTTTTTCTTAGCTGATCTTGACTTTTTTACGATTCGTATACAAAGATACAGGAAGGAGCGACAGGGGCCGACCAACACGAAGATGGGCACAGGATATAAGTGACTCCTTGAGTATAAAAATGCATGAGGCGGGAGAGCTGGCGAGAGACTGAGTTTCTTTCAGGCAGACCATACAAAGCATACATGGAAAGAGAAGAAGGACGTAGAGCACGAGGTAGACCAAGAACAAGATGGAAGGATAACATCAAGAAACTCTACAACAGCATGGTGTGCCTATGGTCGAGGCGGCCAGAAGAGCTAGAAACAGAACCTTTTATCTCCCTCGACACCCACAGCGATAAAAGAGGAAGTGAAGAAGAAGAAGAAGAAGAAGACCATGATGAGAGCGACATTCTGCAAAGGAGCTGCTATATATGATGATGATACAAATACTGCACCAGGCGGATTTGGGGAAAAAATTATTTCATGCGCAGGTCCACCCAAGATAATATTTGTACTAGGAAAGGTCCTGCAAGTTTGTAGGTGACCGGTGTCATGTTGGCCATATCAAGTGCCGACTGACCTATATAAATAACTCGAGAATGAAAAAAAAAAAAAAAACTAAAAAGCCTTTAGTTTTTGTTATCATGCACAGTAAGTAGGTAGTTTTTCTCCCACATGGTGTCAGTCTGTAGGGTTAACATCTGAAGGATGAGAATCACACAGGTACAAGTCCCGAAAACCCCGTTCACCACATAACAGTTACATTTGCCACGACGGTTAAATAGTAAAATTAAGTCGGGTAAGACAGTGAGATTATAAATGGTCCAATATCATGCAAGAACACTGACCTGGTCTGACTGGCCGTGACGTCATCGCAAGGCTGACCACATACTGTCACATTGACCAGACCCTCGGTGTGCACCCCCAAGTGAGATCCAGTAATGGTCAACACAGACCCTCCTTGTCTAGGCACTTTAGCTGGAACAAACTGCCGGAGAAAATATGTACATTTCTATTCAAGTGAGAGCCGCTGAGGTCTAGCGGCTAGACGCTCGCCCGCGAATCGGAAGGTCGTTGGTTCGGTTCCTGACAGGAACTAGACTTTTTTTTTTTCAAAAATTTCAGTGGCTCCCAGGTTGACCTAGCATTGAGTGGGTACCAGGTGCAGTTCTGGAAAGTAAAGGCGGTCGGTGTGATGCTGACCACATCACCCACGAAGTGCCGTTTGGTTTATAAAAATATATCTAGCCACAAATACCCAATACGCCTAAAACGCGAGGAAATGGGTGTTTTACTTTTATACTTTTATTTCTATTCAAGTCATTTGTGGTGACTTTTATTCGTTATTAGTCGCAGTTTAATTTAAGCAATACCAGTCCTCACCCATATGGGACTTCAGGTTACATTAGGGTGTTGTAGTCGTTTCGAGTGTCCTAATTATAACTTCTTTGGAGGCTAAGCTTCTTTGAGGTATCTGGGACTTGGCCAGTTGGTCTTCTGTTCGGATTGATAGTTTGTAACTTCAGGGGTCATACCTTCAGGTAGCAGCTCGGAGAGGGTAAAACACACACACACACGCACGCACGCACCCGCGCGCGCACGCACGCACACACACAAAAACACACAGAGGCGTTAGTGGTAGTTCCATCTTCACAGCCAACCGGTCATCCCACACCTACCCTGTTCCGGTGCCAACGAAAATTAACAACGAAAGCCTATTGTTTCATCTCCATTCTATTCAACAACAACAACAAATTAAAAACTCGACCACGTTCAACCTGCTGTTTGCAGCGAGCCGCCAACATTCTCTGGTTATATTTGTGATATACTTTATTTGAGCCACTTGCGCGGCCAAGAATGTGATATATGCACCAGCTTTCTGGCTCAATGTTCCTTTCCGCAGAGACATACCGTTCCTTTCTTTTGCATGTCCCAACGTCTACCTCCTGTCCTTATTTTCCCGATGTTTTCCTCGTGGGTCATCCTCCGCCCGGTTCCTTCTCCTTGTTATTTTGAACTTGTGCCCTCCAGTGTGTTCCTGAATCTCTTCCAGACTAGTTCAGTCAGGCGTACGTCGCTAGAGATACATAACATCTTCTCAGGCCCCTTTTCAAAAGTTTAAAATTTTTGATTCACCTTGCCAAAAGTACTGAAAACAGTTTTGGGTTTGGACAGATTTAAATTGTGGAAATATTTGTGAGCATAACGGTCTTATATTTATCTTTTTTTAATAAGAGCGGGTTAGAGATGTCATAGTGATTTGGATGAAATGGTTGATATCTATGATTGTTGACTTGAAATTGTCATAGCTTGATCCGGTTTTGGCGGTCTGGTATGGTGAAAGCCCGTCGCTGACCCTTCTGAAGAAACTGAAGCAACAGACTGTATCTACGACAAAACCAGTAGCATTTTTTATGGGTTTAAAGATTTATATTTATTACATCACTTGAATAGATCATCTAATACATAAAGGTTGTGGTGTGTTTTTCTTCTCCGCCGCAGAGAGATGATCCATTGATAGGTAATATAGAACTTCCATATGTAGGCAGTATAGTTGGATCCAAATGTCAGACAAAATATATTCAACATTTGTGTTTAACACTTTTTTGGTGAACTGATATTCATATTGGTTGTAACTTTTTTTTTTTTTTTTTTAATTTCATCTTCTCCTTGTGAGATGCAATTTTTCATTTTTTGAAGCCCGACTCTGGCTCCTGTCAGGAGCCGCAATATAGCCCGACCATAGGTATGGTCTAATGGCTGAACGCGGTTTTTGGGACCTCTCCACAGTGATCCTCCTCCTCATGGTGGCACTTATGTGTCATCGGGTGTTTATCGCTTGTGTGATGTCCTGGTGGGGTAAAAATCTATTACTACTACTTATATTTTTAAGTAGTGCTTGACGGTTGTGGATTTGAATTTACCCCGGCAGAGAGATCCAGTAATTGCTTACAATGGACATTCATGTGAAGGAGGGTAATTTAATTTGAACAAACTATCAGCAAATGAAAAAAAAAAAATAAATAATCAGTTGCCTTAAAAAAATGTATGGTGAACTGCTGCTTTTCATAATGGTTGTGAGGATTCATATTTAATCGAATTGATCACCTCATGCCTAACTGTTAGGGATGAGGTTTTCTCGTCCACCCGCCAAAAGTCAAGCAATTGTCAATGTAGAATTTATAATTTTTTTATGTGGTGGTTTCCAGCGGGCTTAAGCCTTGTTTAATGGATAATACGAATAATAAAACATAAAGTAGTAATAATAAAAGGGGAATAATAAAAAAAACATTATGTACTGAATGAAAAATAAATTTAACAACAGGCTTCGAAAATGAAATATGTAAACACATTCTTCAAAAGAAAACAATTACAGGTGAGCACTGACCAGCTGATAAATTTTCTGAAAGAGGGGCGAGGGGAGGGGGTGCTAAGCCCTCTGAAGGTGGTGGGTGCAAAAGGAGTTGGGGGGGGGGGGTATAGCCAGATTCATATGCCATCCTGACACAGCCACATGCATATGCAGTTTTCAAATACGACAAAAGATATAGTTTGGGGCCCCATACAGCACAACATATGCTCAAAGACTGCATCGAATGTGACACCTTACAGCAAATCATCTGGCTTCGAAACCAACAACGAAAGCTAAATTTGATGGACCAATTAAAAAAAATTAGATAAACTGCATACCAAAAACAAACAAAAAACAAAAAAAAAATTCAAGGAACATTGCAGATATGTGTAGTCTTATTAAAACTGACAAAAGAAGAATGATTCAGACATGTGCATCAATGCCACCGCAGTGTACCAAGGTTAAAAAAAAAATCAAATATCAGAACGCTTAGAAATAAAAGTTTTTAAAAAAAAGCAGAATACCCCTAATTAGTCATCTTTTGCGACATGTAAAGTAAAGATCCCTTTTCACGCCTTTAGGCGCATCGGGCATATGGGAAGAGCACCCAAATTTTTACAGACCAATCGGCACTCGGTGTGTAATGTGGTCAACATTACGCCGGCCGTCTTTACTTCCCCAGGACAGCCATCCTGGTACCCATTTGAGTCTGGGTCGACCTGCGACGTCCCATACCACGATAAAAATCCACTGAGCCCGCAGTGGGTTTCGATCGCGGTACGTTGGATTACGAGTCGGACTCGCAACGCCTTAAATACTGAAGATAAAATCGAAATTCGAAACTCACCTCAGTTATAATTGGAGGGCATCTTACATCTACAGTTCTGTTACAATATTTCGATGTTAATTTTATATCTCGACATTTGTTCTCTACTGGACACCATCGACATTCTTGTCTGTGAGCTCGACATTCGCCACAATTTTGTAACTGCAGGCAAAATTCCAAGCCGAATTCTATAATCTGGGGAAAGAGAATAAATTAATGTGCGTTTGTTGTCATGGTCACTATCGACAAGAGACTACTGAAAGTTCGATGTTGAATTTTGAATTAACAATCACATCATAGCATTTGGAATACTCCCAAAAGCACTCCGTCCCCATATCCAGCAGCACGCGAAAAGTACCAGTTCCGATGGTGCCAGGAAATATCTTATTGTACATCCGTCGCATCGTTCTCTTGAGTGTTGAGGTTCGGCCAGATCCCCTGGTAACTCCCCAGAGCGCCATTTTTCTCAGACGATCTATTTGTGCCTCCACATTGTTTACTCGATCCCAAAATGCCCTCACAACTTCTTACTTGTCATATATCAGTTCACCGCCAAGTAGTGCAGAACTGACCATTCTATTGGCCTGCTCATTTCCCAAAACACCGGCATAACCTAAAGAAAATAGCGACAGGAGGCTAACTACTCGAAACCTCTGAACCGATGCTTGCCACGCTGCACGGAGCATGCCTGTCACCACCTTTCTGAACATACCCATTGAGTCAAGTTATAATTACAACATGTGTGAACAGCTGATTCTTAATTCAGCGGAAGGCAGCAGTGACTGCTTTCATCTGCACTCTCATGCTAGATGCTTCTAGGCCTTTCAAGTATGAGCGGACTAACACCTGTCTTGGATTCCTCCGACAGAGGGCATGTAAGAGGGCCGGCAGATCTACTTTTGTGTAGCCTCCATAGTGGACATCAGAGGTTGAACAGGCATGGGAGTTAAAGAGAGCTGCAGTAAAGCGTTTAAAGAAAGTACGACAGCCCTAAGCTCACAGAAGAAGTTGGAGAGCGCGGAAAAAGATAAGAAAGATAGGAGAGTTTTTCAAGCGCTGTTAAAAAAAAAAAAAAAGCAAAATGGGAGCATTTTATTGATGGGATTGGATTGGGAGCGATAAGAAATTTGGAAAGTTGTGGAGGCTACATAGGCACATGCTCAAGAAAGATCGGCCCAGCGTAGTAGCAGCAGTTCATAGAGATGACACTATGCTATTAACTACAGACAAAGAGAAGGGAGAGGCTTTCCTGAAGAGGTTCATTTCACAGACAGACCACAAAGATGGAGATAAAGAGAGAGAGAGAGTTAGAGAAGAACTGGCAGCCATCTTAAAAAAAAAAAAAAAAAAACCTTATGAAGACATCATACAGGTTGAAGATGTAAAACGTGTTCTGAAAAGGGTGAAAGACACTGCGCCTGGGCCCGACGGGGTTAGATATTCCCACATGAAAGACATGAGTGATGCAGACCTGTTGGATACGACTGATTGCTTTAACCAGAGCCTTAGGACAGCTTCAGTCCTAGAAGAGTGAATGCACAGCTGCCTAATTCCACTTCCTTAGCCTGGCAAAAATCATTCAACACTCGGGGGCTTTAGAATCATAACCCTAAAAAACACCTTTGGTAAAGTGCTGGAGAAGATAGTATCGGGTAAGATACAAGAACTTTTGGAACAGAGTAGTCTCCTTCCACGAGGATTGGGGAGTTACCGACAGGGGAAGGAAACATGGTCAAATGCAGCCACTTTTGCCTTTGATACCTTTGAAGGTTTCCAGAACAGACAGGAAACAGCGGCACTCGATTTAGAAGACGCTTACAACAGAGTCAGATACAGTATCTTGATGAAAGCGCTTATAGAGAAGGGAGTCTGTCCTTGGTTGGTGAATTGGATAGCAGCTGTTTTGTATACTCACCAGGTAGCTTTCCGCCTGGGTTCATGGACATCTGAACCATGTATTATAGCTCCAGGACTATCCCAGGGATCTGCAATTTCACTTGTAATATTCAATGTTTTTACGAGCAAGATTGCCTGCATGGAAACACCTGGAGTTTGCAGAACATTGACATTTGCAGATAATGTTATAGTATATAGAAAGGGGAGAGATCGGAATCAAATAGCTAAAGAGTTACAGGCAACAGTAGATAAGGTAATTGACTGGTGTACAGAGATGTGTGCTGTAATCAACCTGAAAAGGCAACCGTCTTGTGGCGTTCTTTGGACAACAGGATTGTTAGAGCTGATGTTCCCAGACTTTCGGGGACCACATAGAGGAGGTTGTGACAAGAGCTCAAAAAGGTCTAAACGAACTAAAGATTATGGCAGCGATGGATATGGAGCAGAGAACGCTTTTCACACTTTACCGGCACCTAATCATCTCAGTGATTGATTATGGATTGGGGTTACTCACTGTCTCTAAGAGTCAGCTAGAGAAACTGGAACGCATACAGAATTAAGCTATGCGGCTGATCCTGGGTTGTACAAGAGACACCCCGATTATGTGCATGCGATATATCCTTGCATTGCTGACTATGCAGATAGGCTAAAGGTGCTGCAGGTTAAGTCACCTCAGAGTAGCTGCAGACAGGAAACACCCCCTGTATGAAGCTTTGGCTGCAGGCAAAGGGTCAGAAGCTGAAAAGGTGAAAATCGTGGCTGACTCAAGCAGAAGACACCATAAGACAAGTATGCATGCTGGAGAACATTGGGCGAGGAGAGGAGTGGGTCAGAGTACCTGCGGGAAAATCTGATCAGTGTAGGGTTATGAAAACATTGGGCCGGGTAGGCAGTGAGTGGCCAGCGGGTGTTACGGAGGTTGAAGTACAACAGTTGATTCGCGACAATTCACGCCCAGGTGATCTGATTATCTATACAGATGGTTCAGTGTTGAGAGGAAAGAGTAGTACATGGCGGTTCGTATCGAAAGCCAATGGAAAATCGTTAGTGCAAGACAGCCTAGCATATGACACCACAACATCTAGCATGGGAATGGAGGTGGAGGTGGTTACTGCAGCTCTCCGGTGGCTAGAGAACAAGATGCATACAAATGTCATAATTGTAACAGACTCTGAAAAAGGTGAAGACAGGGATGCTTCGAGCAGAGTGGCTAGCTTCACTGGAAAGCTCATGGGTGGTGAGCATATTTTAGATCTTTTTCCAGGCCATGCCGTCGTGGTTTGTAATGAACAGGCAGACAGATTGGTTGGATCCACTGGGTGGTGAATTAATACATGACAAGGCAGATGTGGTCAAGGCCTTTTGGGAACAAGCAACAGAATCAGTAGAGAAAGAAGATTATTATGACCTGGAGAGAATGAGGCACCTGGGTGTAACCAGAGGGTCTGGCCGGCTCATTACACTCAGAGGAAAGGCAAGACGGACATATATCCAGATTGTGACCGGTACCATTAGGATTGGAACTTTGCGCTGCCTGCTGAAGATGAGGACTGAGCACGCATGGGAATGCCCCGAGTGCTGTGATGTCAATTCTTGACTCAACTCAACTCAACACATGCTAGATGTAGTTTCAAATATGCATACATACATACGCACTGACTTATAAACATGTATGAGATCAACTTCACAACTACCACTACCGTCACCATCATCAATAAGTGCCTTGTCAACTGGTGTGTGCGATCAAGCCTCTCCACAGCCTCCGATCTACAAGCATATTTTAGTTCTTGTGCTGATACCCTTTAGTGGATTGATACAACTCTGTCAAAAATCTTCATCTGGTGACTCTCTCTATCTCTATTTCTAGTCAGTAAAATATTTTCTAGTGTTCCTTTCTTCTCATAGTGTCGTAAACAATTGATGACTGTTTGTTCCTGAGTTTTGTGGAAAGCTTTCTTTGGACCTTCTTCCCATTCAAAACATGTAGACGGCCCATTGTGGCTGTTAATGGAAATTTAATATTCTTCTGTAAAACCGCATCTCTGAGGTTCAAACAGTTAATTGTTTTGTTAACTAATTGTCCAGGATTTACTTCAATTTGCTTAGGTCTTTCAAAGAAAATCTCAATCAAGTGCGCTAACTTCACCAAGACACCGATCTCGATGTGTTTTTACGAGAATGGCGTACCTGTAAATTATTCTTTGTGAAAAAAAAATTAATAATAATAATAGAAAGAAGAAGAAGAAGAAGAAGAAGAAGAAGAAGAAGAAGAAGAAGAAGAAGAAGAAGAAGAAGAAGAAGAAGAAGAAGAAGAAGAAGAAGAAGAAGAAGAAGAAGTAGAAGTAGAAGAAGAAGAAGAAGAAAAGAAGGGGGAGGTGAGTAGAAAAAGATTGAAGAGTGGTCGGTGAAGAAGAAGAAGAAGAAGAAGAAGAAGAAGAAGAAGAAGAAGAAGAAGAAGAAGAAGAAGAAGAAGAAGAAGAAGAAGAAGAAGAAGAAGAAGAAGAAGAAGAAGAAGAGGAGGAGAAGAAGAAGAAGAAGAAGAAGAAGAAGAAGAAGAAGAAGAAGAAGAAGAAGAAGAAGAAGAAGAAGAAGAAGAAGAAGAAGAAGAAGAAGAAGAAGAAGAAGAAGAAGAAGAAGAAGAAGAAGAAGAAGAAGAAGAAAGAAAAAGAAGAAGAAGAAGAAGAAGAAGAAGAAAATGAAGAAGAAAAAGAAGAAGAAGAAGAAGAAGAAGAAGAAGAAGAAGAAGAAGAAAGAAGAAGAAGAAGAAGAAGAAGAAGAAGAAGAAGAAGAAGAAGAAGAGAGAAAAGAAGAAGAAGAAGAAGAAGAAGAAGAAGAAGAAGAAGAAGAAGAAGAAGAAGAAGAAGAAGAAGAAGAAAAGAAGAAGATGAAGTAGCAGTTGTAGCAATTGTTGTTACTCGTGATCCAATGTGGCTGCTGTGTTTGTGTTAACAGTAGTGGTGATGGTGGTGATGATATTATGTTAGTTTTTATTGTAAGTAATAGAAAAGAGGAAATTGTAAAGATAAAAGGTTAAGGTGGAAAAAAATGCATACAAATTGATTCAGATTGTATATACCACCAAACACAAAACGGTGAGTCGTCGCTTATGTTACCACAAGTTCCATGAGCTTACCTTGGGACCAGCAGTCACGTAGACGACAGCACCAACGTGGTCAGTGAGTCCGACAGACTGAGACGTGACAGCTTCCGTCAGATTAGAAAAGTCCATCACTGGCATCTCCACTTCAACCGAAAATGCCGAACCTCGCAGCGCTGCCCTCAAGGAAATCTGTTTTCATGTTGGGTATTATATTATTAGCTGTTTTATAATGGAGCATATATTATCTAACTTCCCCTAAGCCTAAATTTTCTAGTTTTTTTACCCTCTCTTTTTCTTCTGCCATCTGGGCGGATTTTATTAACGGCGCCATACTTCTAACATTCCAAAAACCCATTCTAGTGATTGTTTTTTGCGGTAAGTAGTGCAGATTTTCGCAGAGGATTTCATCTATAACCGACATACATGCATTCCGTACACACTACTTAGCTCGTTTGTTTACCGGAATAGCACCCTTCTCTGCAAGTTGTTGTAGGAACATTTATTTACAGGGTGGGGAGAACTGGTTCTACATCCAACCCTCTTCCTTTGTCATCCGAGCTTTTGGACCGAAATTGCGGAGAGAACGGAACGTTTACGAAGGAATATTTTTTAAGGAATAAAACAGCAGAAATCAACACCATTTACGACCAAGACGAACAGGCAGTCAGGAATGGTGGAACATAGAGACATGACGTGCTGTTACACAACTAAGTCTTTTACTAGATTTCCTATTTGCTGGTGTCTGTCGCTTGGGCTTTGCGAACGTGCTTCCTAATTCCAGGGTGCCTGGTTGGATCTTAGCAGCGGACGTTCTGGATCAGACGCTCTTGGGTTGGTTTCGACTACGGCCTCCTGCAGGCTTTGGAAAGGCCGGACATGTCATCACGTGAAATTATGGCACGGAGGCCGTCGAGTAGTGTGTTATAGCCATCTTTTGGTTACACCCTGTGTTGTGGACACAGCCTTCTTTAGGTATATTTAACTGCACTGTTAGATGTAAATAGAACTACAATTCTTAAATGGATATTCTGGAGTGGATATACAAGATTGTCAAACTCTGAAGTGTCAAATTACTGCCAATTTAAAATCAAGAGAGGAGAGACAAGCGCAGTTGCATGTGTGTATAGTCAGAATTTTTGTTCCGCAACATCTACAGGTTTTTATGATGTCCTCTTGTTTGAAATACTATAAAGTTGTGGAGCTGGCATATGTGGAGAGGATATCTGATTAAACGGTTTCAGAGCAAATTTGCTTCAGATTATCAGCATGGTTTGTTCAAGAGTGTGGTTTTTGATTTGTGGTAGTGATTGCAGACAAATAATTTGTTTGCCATAAAGCTCCTTACCCTTCCAATATAGAAAAGCACTAGTTCTTGTTATTGTCAGTAAGTACAACATTGCTGCTCTACAGTTTGTAATAAGTCAGGAAACACAGATTTTATTAAGGCACATTATTAATGCTGAGCAAATTCTTAAGCAGGAATACACGTAGCACTTTTGCCAATCCACTAACTTGCTAAAAAAAATTGTTGTGCATATTATAATGGTGTACCTTCATATGTGATTCATTTTAGATATACTATATCAAGACTTTTTGGGGTAGCTTTTGGGTAAGTGAGAACAAAACATTCATAATTAACTAACCTCTAACAGTAAGTCATTTGCCTTTTTACTAATTATTAACTAACAGTATAAATATTATGTGTTGTAGCAGTACACTAATATCAATCCTCTATTATTTGTGTTCATTTTCGTCCTTCTTCTTTTTCTTCGTTTTCACCGGCAACAAACTATGGTAGAAATTTCTGGCTGTTTATCTACTTGTGAAGTTTAGTCTTGTTCCATTCAACAGTCGTTGCGTGCACATCTGCTATACAGATTTAACATTTTTTGCACGCAGACTGCTATTTTTTGCCTCTAAGGCAAACACATTCCGATTCTGAAAAAAGCCACAATAAGTCGATTCTTATTACATGCTCGTTTGTGAGGCGGCGAGCCTATTTTTTGTTTTTCCTACAATGGGACCTTGATACCCACATAGCAAAGTTGTGGGTATCATATGTGTTATGTTGCGCAGTGTGTGCAGTTGTGTGGCCAGTTGAATGATCTATTTTAATGTGGTAAATTTTTTAAAGTGAAAATGTCACACCCCCCACCCCCAGGTCCTCTGACTTAATACCCCCTCAATATCAAGGAGTTAGCACTAATTTTTCCTTAATTTGAGTGGAATAGCTTTCAGTTTATTGCTACACATTATTTATATAAGTGTTCGTTTTGACTCTAGAAAATGCATTTATATTTGTCTGCAAGAACCAATATTGTTTTATTTTTTAATAGCAGACTTGCTATCTTAAAAATGACATAGAATTCAATAAATCATGTTGCAAATTAATTAAACTGTAGTTTAATTTGTATATAAATCTACTCGATAAAAATTGTAAACTAAGACCGCGCCTTCAGACTTTCACAAAAACGGGAATTTCCGTTGACCTGTTTGGTCTATAAAAAGCTAGAGCCGGCCGTGGTTTCTACAATTGTATTGACAGACAACTCTTGGGGAAGCTACAGTAAACAATATAAATTTCATGGTGCAATCACAAAGTGTCGAAAAAGAATGACGGGTCTGTGTGTGTGTGTGTGTGTGTTGTATATATATATATGTGTGAGTGTGTATATATATATATATATATATATATATATATATATATATATATATACATATATACACATATACACACACACTATATATACACACACACAGAAAGAGGAAGGATGAGAGACAGGCAGAAACAGACATTAAAAGATATACAGAGAGAAAGAAAGAGACTTAAAGGCAAAGTGAGATTGAACGAGACAGACTCACGCATACGTATGAAAAAGAGTCAGGCTTAAAAGAGACAGGCAGAGGAAGTCACACACATACACACACACACACACACACACACACATTCAACGAGAGAGAGAAGACAAAGAAAAACAGACACACAGAGAGAAGACAAAGAAAAAAAGAACACAAAGAAAAACAGACACACAGAGAGAGAGAGAGAAGAGAGAGAGAAGAAACAGAGAGAAGAGAGAGAAGAGAGAGACACACAGAGAGAAGACAAAGAAAAAAAAAAACACACAGAGAGAGATAGAGAGAGAGAGAGAGAGAGAGAGAGAGAGAGAGAGAGAGAGAGAGAGAGAGAGAGAGAAAGAGGGAGAGAGAAGACAAACTGGCAAACCTTTTTGAGAAATCCCACGTTGGTCAGCAACAAAACGTCCATGACCTCATGAAGACTGTTCCTTCCTTGGCTGTCCACGGCCACTACATGGGTCTGGGTGAGAATGTTGACCACTGACCACTCCTTGATGTGTGTCAACGCATGCATTTCCTTGACGTCCGTGTACTGCACGTATTTATTCTTTGTGTTTGAGTTACATAATCCACTCTGTATTTTGGAGACAGAGAAAATTCTCAGTTTACCTTTATTTTAGTTTTACTAGTTTGTTTCTCCCTTTCAATATCTCTGTTTTTGTCTTCCTATGTCTATCTCTTTCAGTCTTTCTTTATTCGTCCGACTCTCTCTCTCTCTCTCTCTCTCTCTCTCTCTCTCTCTCTCTCTCTCTCTCTCTCTCTCTCTCTCTCTTCTTCTTCTTCTTCTTTCTCTCGCCTAATCTTGCAATGTGTGGGCATGTTTTACTTAAATTATTGTCCTTACTTCTGTTCAATTATTGTTAAAATTAAAGGATTTGTTGTAACGTCTTGTTACAGTTATGTCCTATCATTTTCTGAAACGTTTTCGATTTTAAAACTATAAATGGTGGCCTAAAAGCACGTGTGGAAAGCTTGGTCTCTTAAGAGATACGCCTAGCCAAAGAGAAGGATCGCTTGTGCGATTTCTTGGTGGGCACCCAAAAAAGAAAAGAAAAACAGAGAGAGAGAGAGAGAGAGAGAGAGAGAGAGAGAGAGAAATAGAGAGAGAGAGAAATAGAGAGAGAGAGAGAGTTTGGAAGTAGCATAAAATCGAATCCTGAGGCAACATACTAATTCTTTCTTTCCCACTGCCCTCCTCCTCCCACAGTCACCTGCTCCTGTTCTTGTCGGGTACGTCTCCCCCTCTAATCTCTCTTGTGTCATTATAAGTAGGATTTGATGGGTCCTTGATAAACAGTCATCAATAGACCTCCAAAACTAACAAACTTAAATGCTTTGCAAACTAACACTGAAAAAAATACGTGCAAAAGGCAATGTATTTATCACAGATGGATATATATAAATAGATATTTACATACAAACATACATGCATGCATACAAACATACATGCATGCATACAAACATACATGCATGCATGCATACAAACATACATACATACATCCATCCATCCATCCATCCATCCACCCACCCACCCACCCACCCACACACACACACACATACATACATACATACATACATACATACATACATACATACATACATACATACATACATACATACATACATACATACATACATACATACATACATACATACATACATACACACATACATACATACATACATACATACATACATACATACATACATACATACATACATACATACATACATACATACATACATACATACATACATACATACATACATACATACATGCATACATACACGCATACACGCATACACGCATACACGCATACACACACACACACACACACACACGCACACGCACACACGCACACACACGCACGCACACACACGAACGCACACACACGCACGCATGCACGCACACACACACACACATACATACATACATACACACATACATTCATACATACATACATACATACATACATACATACATACATACATACATACATACATACATACATACATACATACATACATACATACATACATACATACCTACATTCATACCTACCTACATATATATATATATATATATATATATATATATATATATATATATATATAGAGAGAGAGAGAGAGAGAGAGAGAGGAGAGAGAGAGAGGAGAGAGAAATAGAGAGAGAGAGAGAAATAGAGAGAGAGAGAGAGTTTGGAAGTAGCATAAAATCGAATCCTGAGGCAACATACTAATTCTTTCTTTCCCACTGCCCTCCTCCTCCCACAGTCACCTGCTCCTGTTCTTGTCGGGTACGTCTCCCCCCTCTAATCTCTCTTGTGTCATTA